AATATCTCCCTGGCTGCAGACCAGACACTCGCTTTGCCGCATGCCCACCCCACGGAGCTCAAAGCCCATACCCATTCTGGGGTTCAAACCCTTGCAATGGGGTTCCACAGGGTTCAAACCCTTGCAATGCTGTCCCCCAAACACTTCCGTAAAAATGTCTTTAGTAATTTGGGAGGAGGTGGGGAGAGAGAGAGAGAGAGAGAGAGAGAGAGAGAGAGAGAGAGAGATTGATTTGTTGATCCACCCGTTCATGCATTCATTGGCTGCTTCTTGTATGTGCCCTGATTGGAGATTGACCCCACAACCTTGGTGTATTGGGACAATGCTCCAATCCAGCGGTCGCCAACAGGTGATCCATGAGTTCTGAAAGGTTGGTGACCACTGCATCCAACCAACTGAGCTACCCCGCCAGGGCCCAAACATATGATGCGGAGTTTTAAAAATGCCCCTTCCCATGCTGCTGGCATGGCTCAGTGGCTGAGTGTCGACCTATGAAATAGGAAGTCACGGTTTGATTCCCAGTCAGGGTACATGCCTGGGTTGTGGGCGTGATCCCAAGTATAGGACATGCAGGAGTCAGCTGATCAATGATTCTCTTGATCATTGATGTTCCTATATCTCTCTCCCTTTCCCTTCTTCTCTGAAATCAATAAATAGATATATATTTTTCAAACACCCCTTCCCACTGACCTGGAAACCACTCCTGGGCAGCAATGCTAAGGAAGTGATCAGAGGCACCTGATTCAGCTCCACAGTGGAAAAGTACAAACATGCTAAGCACACCCCGCGGTATAAATACTGAGCGACAGCCACAGCGGAGCAGCGGGCAGTCATCAGACTACCATTCGTGCAGAGTCGTAAGGAGCTGGGAGAGTTCTCGCAGGCGACAATACAGTGGGAAAAACAGAAACAGCCACAGCCCAGCTCCCTCCTTCTCTTTATCTTTTCCCTCCCGTGGTTGGATAAAAATATATCAACCATTTACAACGGTTGCCTGGGAGCCCAATTATGAATCTTTTGTGCAAATTCTTTATGTTTTTTTTTTCTGTATTTTCCAGAATTTATCACATGAGCTTGTATTACTTCATGACGAGGTCCCACCAGGGCCCAGAGCCCCCGAACACCCCACACACTGTGCCTGCCTTCCAAGCAGCCCGCGGAACCTGAGCCAGGTGAACACACACCGGAGGGCCACGCCTGTGCGTTCCTGTGGCTGTGCCACAGACCACAACCACCCAATGGCTGCAGGCAACACACACCTATCCCGTGTTCTGGAAGGCAGAAGTCAGTCGGACACGGTTCCTCCCGAGAGTCTGCTTCCTGGCCTTTTGCAGCTTCTAGAAGCTGCCTGCATCCCTTGATGTGTGGCCCCTCCTCCGGCTTTCCAGCCAGCCTGGTGGGTCTCTGACCCCGCTCCTCTCTGAGCGACCCCTCATTCCGTCCCATTACCTCTGTGGCCTTAGGCCCAGGTCCATCTCTTCATCCTGAGATCCGTGATTGGGTCGCACCTGCAAAGTCCAAGAGCACTTTGGGGCGGCTAGCACCCCGCCTAAGTGGCAGGAAACGCCGGCCCAGCTGAAGGAGGGACTCACGGCCTCTGCCAGGGAGACCCAGGGGAGCGCCCGCTGGAGGCCTGCAATGTGTGGCTCGTGTCTCAGGGGGCAACGCGGTGTCTCCCGGCAGAGACGTGGCATTAACACGTGAACGGAAATAAAATAACACAGTAAACAGACCAGGTAGCAAAATGACCAAAGATGAGGAGAAAACGCATGAGATGAAGACCGATCCCTCCAGACTGTGGAATAACAGCAGTGGGGAGGCGCCCCTGGCAGGAGCCCACCCTTCCAGACAGACCCCTCTGAGGTGAGTGGGAGGGGGCCAGGTGCATGGGGTGGGGGTCCCCCTGCCTGCTGCACTGCCCTCTGGGTCTGTGGCTCCCAGCTTGCCAAGCACTCAACCAAGATTATACAAAATCCTTCTGGTCTGAGCTCGGATCCCTCCTGAAGAAGAAGGAGCTTCTGGCCAAAAATACACGGGAAGGGCTGGCCCAGGGCAAATGGGGTTGACAGTCTCCAGGCCTCAGCCCAAGAAAGCTTCCAGGTGCTGCCATGTCACCCAACCCCACCTGGTCATGTCCTGTTACTGCAGGAAGAGCGGGAGGGGACACCCACCCGTCCCTCAGCCTCTGCCCCACATGGTCCTCGTGAGGGGCAGTGAGGGCTCCCTGTCCCCCGCCCCCCCCCCCCAGTAGCCCCTGTGGGAAGTTGGGGTGAAGCTCTGTCCTGGTAAATTTGAAGAGAACAGGAGAGTGCACGCTCATATCTTAGCTCTGTGGCTGTGGCTGTTTTTGCAGAATTAATTTGCAGAAATTAATTCTGCAAAAACAGCTGAACATTACTGAACACTTACTATACGACAATTTTTTTACACCTATTAACTGATACAGTCTTCTCAATAACCGTAGGAGATAGATGTTGGTATTTTCTGTTCCTTGGGTGGGGGATACCAAGGCAGATAGAGGTTTGGTAGCTTTCCTAGGATCTTCTAACGTCCGTGACAGGTTTGGGGATCAATGTTATGTAGGCCTACAAAATAAGCTGGGAAAGGCTCATCGTTTTTGATTCTTTGGACTAAATATCACCAAATATCAATTGGTGATATTTCTTCAACTGTTTAAAAGAATTTGTCAATGAAAACATCTGAACCTAGAATTTTCTTTGTAAGAAAATTTTAAATTATGGATTAAATTTAATTGGTAGGGGACTATCCAAGCTTTCTGTTTCTTCTAGTATCAGTTTGATAAATTGCATTTCATTTCAATTTCAAATTTACTGTCCAACTTGCTCATACTATCCTTTTGCTGTGTATATAATGTTTGTAATACCTATGGTGATGTCCTCTTTCATTCCTGATATTAGAATTTGTGTGTGTGTTGTGGGGAGGGTTCTTATCCAATATTTCCAGGGGTTCATCATTTCTGTTGATCTCTTCAAATAACAATTTTTAGCTTTGTTATATTTTCTCTAATTTTTGCTGTTATTAATTTCTGATCTTACTTTTTTCACCTTTGGGTTGAATTTGTTATTTTTTCCCTAGCTTCTTGATTTGGAACTTAGAGCATTAATTTTTAGTCTTCTTTCTAAAGCTATACATTTTCCTGTAAGCATTACTTTACCTGCACCCCCATTTCACTATTGTTCACTTCAAAATATTTTGCACCTTCCCTTGTGATTTACTATTTGACCCATTGATTATTTACAAGTGTAATGTTTAATTTACAAGCAGTTGGAGGCTTTCAAGTAGTTTTACTAGTATTGAGTTTTAAATTAATTCTGAGAGAACACAATTGTATGATTTCAGTCTTTTGAAATTCGTTGCAACTTTATAGCCTAGGATTTGGTTTATTTTGGTTAATATTCTGTATGCACAGGAAAAGAACATGTATTCTATTGGCTGCATAGGTGTAATTTGGGGCAAGTTGGTCAATCCTGTTCTTTGAACTGGGCTGTGTTGGTTCAAGGATAGAGAAACAAATAGTGGGACTGAAGAGTCCAGAACAGATCTTCACATATCCGTCACTTGTTTATTGTGGGGACTCTTTCACAATGCAGTAGGGGACATAGTCTTTTCAATAAGCGATGCTGGGTTAACTGGATACACACTGGAAAATACATGAGCTCTCACCCCTTTCCACACCATTCACAAGAATTAGTGTGGCCCATCACTATGTGAACGTCAAAACAATTACACTTCAAAAAGAAAACATACACCATCACTATGAAAAGGCATTAACCATAAGAGAAAAGACTGATACATTGGACTTCATTGAGAATAACTCCTGTTCGTTGTAATCAATAGCCACCACAGAATAGTACAAAGTATCTGCAGTCTCTCCAATACAATGAAAATCCCCGCGGGGGCCCATCTCTAACACAAGCCCGTGTGTCGGACCAGGGACGCGTATCCAGAATATGTAAAGATCTCTAGGAATCAGTAAGAAAACGGAGCCGGGTGTTGAACACAGGTGGCCGAGGCCCCAGTTAGGACCTAATCCCTGGGCCATGCGGGGACAGTCCTGCCCTCGGTGAGCGCGTACCGGCAACTCGCTCAGGCCTCCTTAAGCGGGGAGGCTCCCGCGCGGCTCCGCCCCGGGGGCTGCCTTTGCCTTAGAAGGCGAAGCCCCAAGCCTCGCCTTTCGCTGGCGGAGAGGCGCGCGGTGCGCCCCGCGCTCCCCTCGCCGCCGAAGCCGCCGCCGCGGGAGCCCTAGGGGCGCGCGAGGCCCCGCGCACTCCGCGCTCCAGGCGGGCTCAGGGCGGGCGCCGGGGCGGGCGCGCCCCCGAGGTTTGAATGTTAGGATCGGGATCGCCGGCGACGGCGGCGAGCAGATCCTGAAGCCAGAGCTCCTCCTGGGCCCCCGTGCCCGCGCCATGAGGCGGGAGAGGTGAGCGGGGCGCGCGGCGGCCCTCCCCGGGCACACGCGCCGTGGGAACGGCCGGCCGGGGGACAAACCCGAGGGCGGCGCGGCGCGGGGGGCGCGGGGGTTGTGGCCGGGCCGGGCCGGGGTCCTGGCTCGCTCGGAGCAGGCTGGGTTGTGCCTCTCGTCTGCGCCTCCGCCCACCGTGCACACATCTCCGAGCGCGAGCTCGGCGACCCCAGAGCAAATCGCCATTTCCCCTCGGCTTTTTTTTTTTTAATCCCCGGCAGCCGCGGGGGGTCTTTGTTATTTAATCCGGAATCTGAAAGACTGAGTCCGTGTTTTTAAAGACTTGGGGCAGAGAAACGCAGGGTCACACCCTGCTGGCCGCAACCCTTCCCTGGGACTGTACCCCCCGGGTCTTCCCGTGCGCCCCGGCCTGTGCGCGGACTGGATCGGGGTGCACACCGCGCCCCTCCCCGCCCTCCGCGCGCCGGCCTTCCCCTCCGCCAGCCGGGCCGGCCGGGCGGGCCGGGCTGAGCGCCGTCTGCCCGCAGGTGCGGCGCCCTCCTCCTGCATCCCCGCCATGGAGGTGCTGCGGCGCTCTTCGGTTTTTGCCGCCGAGATCATGGACGCCTTTGACCGCTCGCCCACCGACAAGGAGCTGGTGGCCCAAGCGAAGGCGCTCGGCCGAGAGTTCGTGCACGCCCGGCTCCTGCGCGCCGGCCTCTCCTGGAGCGCTCCCGAGCGCGCCGCGCTCGCCCCGGGCGGCCGCCTGGCGGAGGTGTGCGCGGTGCTGCTGCGCCTGGGTGAGTGCGGGCCCCGGCGGGATGGGCCCCCAGACCGCCCCCTTCTGAGCTGGTTCGCTGGGGTGGGCCCACTGCGCCTTAGGGTACAGCTGTCTCCACAGTGACCCGCCCACGGGGTGACCTGGCCGAACCCTCCACTTCTGGCCTCAGTCTCCCTTTGGGGCAGAGAGGGGCTGGTCTGGGGTGAGGGTGGGGGTGAGGCGGGGGCGAGGCTCGGAATAGCCATGCATAGAGGCAGGCTACCAGGCGATGCTCCCCATCTCTCTCACAGTCCTGTGTTTACCCCTCTCAGGGGCTCCCTGCACACTACAGACCTCCCCCAACTAGTCTGCTCAGCCCAGATTTCATAGAGGATAGAAAGCTGTAGGAAGAATAATGTTTTGATGGCTGCTTTTCCAATGACCCTTGTACTCAGCTGGGCACAAATATCCTTGGTCGGACCACATGCCGGTGTTTATTTTGGAAAATAGGTCCTTTTAGTTACTGGCTGAAATCCTGCCATCTGCTGCTCTTTCTTGATTTAGAGGCACTAAACCTTCCCCCCACCCCCTCGCAGAACTGGGTGCCCAGGACAGCTGACACCACTGTGGGGCTGGCCCACATTTGTTTCTGGGATCACACCCAAGTCAGTAACTGTCTCCACCTTCTCCAGGGTCTGTACCCCTCACCATGGGCACGGAGGTCCTGACCTCCAGCATTCTCAGTTCTGGGAGTGGGCACCTGGCGAGCAGGAGGCCGCAAAGATGGGTGGGGAGATGCTGACACTCGTGTTTGCTTGTCCCTGTTTTGTGTGGCCCCTGGGAGCAGGGTTGTATGTGTATCTGGCCTCCCAGGAGCGTGTGTGAGAGACACAGATTCGATGGGGGCGTGTGCAGGGCTCCAGAATGGTGGTGCCCCACCTTGGCCCTGGGTGTGGAGATCAAGTGGGTTTGGGGATACGTCAGGGGTCTGGAGGGCCTGGACTCCCGTGAGGTCAGCTGCCCACTGCTGTTCTAGCTGGGCTGTGAGGACGGCATGGGGGGGGGGGCACCTTCTAGACTCTAGAGGACCCCTGGAGAAGTTCTGTCTGTCCTGGCTTGCTCTGCAACCCTGCCCTGGTCTTGTGGGGCTGCCCCTACCCTAGACCTGGTGTCCTGTTGCTTAAGCTCTTCTGAAAAGCCCTGCTCTGCACTCTGCAGATCTGATGGGCTCATTTATGCCCCTTCAGTCCTCTGTTCCACTCTGAGAGCCCCATCCTTTGGGCCTGGCCTGGGTAGTTGCACTGGCCCTCTCAGAAACTCGGCCTTCACGGCCCTTTCCCACTGTGCAGCCCGGCCACGTCCAGTCCCTGGGGCACAGCCCCTGCCAGATGGCTGAGGGGGCCTTGGAGTGAGGTGACTTGGGTCCTCAGAGGGAGCATGTATGTCTCATTCCCTGCATCCTGCCCTGGGCCTGAGGCTGCCTCCCTGCCCCCAGCCCCTCCTCAGCAAACGCCCGGCTCCGGGGTCAGCACACACAGGAAGAAGCCGGGTCACTTCCCATGGTCAGTCTCTCGGGATGATTCTCCGGCAGCCCCCAAGGTCTCTGTGGGAACAGCCCGGCCAGTCCTGGGAATTTCCATGCCCCCCATCACCCCGCCTCAGTTCTGCTTGGTTCCAGATCTTAATTAATTAGATGGTGTGCAGCTGGCTCCAGGGATGACTCTGGCGTCCTTATCGGCCAGCGCTGTCCAGGCGGCGTTTCCCTGTTTGCTTTGGCTGGAGAGGTGGGCTGAGAGACACTCAGTGCGAGTCTGGAATTTCTGGCCCGTCCCTGCCAGGGGCAGCGCAGCGGCAGGCAGGGCTGGTGACAGGGCCTGTCCTCCGCAGGGTGGCCGCCCAGCACACACCCACTTGGCACAAGCACAGCCGGAGCTGGGGCAGTGCTGGAGGCCCCGGTGGTGGAAGGTTCGTCCGTGAGCGGTGCTGGGGCCCAAGTGAGAGTGGCCTCAGCGGCAGTGGCCAGGGCTGCCCACCTGTGTGGGTCGAAGTCCCTGCCCTTGTTGGGTCTGGCTGCTTGCCCTCTCCGCCTGCCGCCCCGGGCAGCTCGCTGTGGGCCATGAGTCACCCATCAGGCACGGCCCATGCTCCTCCCGGGATTCCCACCCTACCAGCCCAGCCGGATTGGCCTTAGGTTGGGGGGAGGGGGAGAAGGGGGAGGGGGGCAGTAGAGGGAGCTGGCTCATCAGAAGGGGTGGGCCACAGAGGCAGGTTCTGAGGGTGCCCACCCCACCTCTCTGGTCTTCCTCTCCCCAGGGGCTGAGTGGAGGGGGGAGGGGTCAGATATAGGCCAGTCAGTGCAGGAGGGTTTCCAAGCCAGCTGTGGCTGTGGGGCTGAGGAGTGGGCTGGTCCCAGGCCCATGTGACCCGGGGCTGGGGTCAGGCAGGGGTGGAGCCCTCTGACCCACTCCTGTGACTGCAGGGGACGAGCTGGAGCTGATTCGGCCCAGCATCTACCGCAACGTGGCGCGCCAGCTGAACATCTCCCTGCACTCCGAGAGCGTGGTGACTGACGCCTTCCTGGCCGTGGCAGCCCAGATCTTCGCTGCAGGTAAGTCTGTGCTGTGCAGCCCCGGGAGCCAACAATGCCGGTGTTGGGCCGGGGCCGGGGCCGGGGCCGGGGCCGGGGCCGGGGCCGGGGCCGGGGCCGGGGCCAGGGCCGGTGTTGGGGCCGGGGCCGGGGCCGGGGCCGGGGCCGGGGCCAGGGCCGGTGTTGGGGCCGGGGCCGGGGCCGGGGCCGGGGCCGGGGCCGGGGCCGGGGCTGGGGCTGTGCTGCTCTCTTGGTGAAGATGGGGAGCCTGCCAGGCAGCTGGCACAGAACCTCACATGGTTCTTGTTAGACATTAGCTGAGGCTGCAGTGACCTGAAGTCCGGGCTGGATGGGGCCAGGGAGTCCTGCCCATGACCTGTGAGGCTTGGGGTTCATTCAGCCAGGCGACCGCGGGAAGAGCAGGGCCTGAGCCGTAGGCCTCTCTCAGTTGTGGCAAGTGCGGCATCGAAACACGGGACACAGGACTGGCCCGGACCGGGGGGCTGCCAGCGGCAGAATCCAGCCTCCAGGGCCACCAGTGGGTGGGTCAGTGCTGACCTCGCTGGGGTGAGGGGGTGCCTGCGTGGGCTGGGGATGCATTCCTCCCGAATGTCCTCCCAGTGCTGACCTGGATCCTGGGGAGCCCTAGCGGGGTGGGGGGGGGTGAGAGGGGGGGCTGTGACCTGTCAGGCACCTTGTGGAGGGTGAGGTGGGTGGGGCCATGGAGAAAGAGGAGGGCGAGGTGGGTGTCCTGGGCTGATGCCTGCCCTTGGCCCTTCCCGGACTCCCCCGTCCCTGGCCGGATGCCGGCGCGTGGGTGGCCGCCTGTGTCTGTCTCCAGGCTGTCAGGCAGCTGGTTTATGAGCCCAAGGCTGGCTTTAAAAGGAAGGCTCATCTGTGAGAAGGCAGCTCTGGCCTGCTAGTGGTTGGGACTGAGCAGGGAGGCGGGGGCCTGGTCCCTGTTGTGTGCGTGTATGTGTGTGTGTGTGTGTGTGTGTGGGGCCAGAGCATCCTACCTTAGCCTGCCCAGCCTTGCCCAGAGCGGGGTCAGGCCTGCACGGGGCCCTCCTGCTTGTTGCTTGTGGGCTCTTACCTCTTGTCCATCCCAGCCCTCGGGGTCCTTGGGCCCTTTCACCACAGGGTGAGCCCAGCCATCAGGCAGTTGCTGGCCCTTGTCCCTTTCTGCCCTTGGCTCTGCCCATGCTGCTGCCAGGCCTTGCCCAGGCTGCCCCTCGGGCTGGGCTCCCCTCCTTTCTCCACGAGGCTTGGCTTCCTCTGGTCGGGCTGGGGCAGGGGCTGTGCCGGCGTGTGGGCAGCTCCAGGCTGTGGGGCAGACTTCCGTGGTGGCCCCTGCCGTGGTCGAGCCCCCTCCTAGGGCTTCTCAATTCACTTCAGTGGAAAAACTAATGTTTCCCTCCCAGATTAAAAGTTGGCAAGGGTTTGCATTTTTCCCTTTATCACAAGAGCAGATTATTTTACCACAGAAGGATCAGAAAATGAAAACTCTTAGAAAGAATACTAAAAAGACAACCCAGTTTAAAAATGAACAAAGAGCCAAGACCGGTTTGGCTCAATGGATAGAGCGTCGGCTTGGGGACTGAAGGGACCCGGGTTTGATTCCGGTCAAGGGCATGTACCTTGGTTGCGGGCATATCCCCAGTGGGGGGTGTGCAAGAGGCAGCTGATTGATGACTCTCTCATCGATGTTTCTAACTCTCTATCTCTCTCCCTTCCTCTCTGTACAAAATAAATAATATATATATATATATTAAAAAAATAATAATAAAAAAATAAAAATGAACAAAGAATCTGAACAGCCGTTGTTCCAGGGAAGGTGTACAAATGGCCGGTAAGCCCACGGAAAGATCAGCCGTTGTCAGTCATTAGGGGGCGCACCCACAACCACCTGAGACACCCTTTGGCATGTGGGAGGGCTCAGGCAAGAGCATCCGGTGGCACAGGTACTGGTGAGAATCGGAAGGGCTGGAAGCCCCATGAGCTGCTGGCAGGATTGGGAAGAGGGCCGATGCTTGGATGAGTGCCAGAGTCTGTAAGGCAGTTGCCATGAGAGCCAGAGAAGTGAGAACACGTCCACACAGAAACTGGCGCACACACGTTCAGAGCAGCAAGACTCCTAAGAGCCAGGAAGGTGCAATGACCCGAGTGTCCGTCACCCGAGTGGTGGACAGGGAGTGCGGTCCATCCACGGGACGGGAAGGGATGGGTTTGGCCACGAAAGGATGCCCCTGAGCCTGGATGAGCCTGGACAGCATGTTGAGTGAAAGGCAGTTGCTGGCCCTTGTCCCCTTGACACGTTGAAACACACAGTGATTCCATAGGTGACGTGTCCACCACAGGCGAGTCCACAGGACAGGTGCCTGGGCCAGCGGGTGGGCGTGACTGCTTATGGAGGCAGATTGCTTTTTGGGACATTGAGAATGTTCTGGAATGGTTGCACAACTTTGTGAATGTACTCAGTAAAACACGCTCTCTCACTTTAGAGGGATGAGTTTACGGTAGTGATGTTACGTCTCCATAAATGGTAAAACACGAAGGAAACAGAATGTCCCTGGAACTCAGTGTCCTCTCACGGGGCAGCCAGCACCTCTCTGCAGGCCGCACCACAGAGCTGCTGTCACGTTCTCAGACTCCAGGCTGTGGTCCAGGCGGCGGGCTCCGTCCCCACCGCCCCCGTTAAGCTTTCACCTGCCCTCTCTGTGTTGAGCTCCTGTGAGTGCTGAGCCTAGGGGTGCCCCAAAGCACAGCTGTGAGCGGAACAGGCCCAGGCCGGGTGCCCTGTGGCATCTGGTACGTGGGGAGCATAGTGTGAGGGCCTGGTGCGAGGAGGGGGGCCTGATGAGAGCCCTGGTGGTGGGGGAGCTGTGGCCTGAGAGGGACCAGCCAGCTCTGGCATTTCAGACTTGGGCCTATTTTGACAGGGAAGTTAACAGTGATGGGAGGTTTTTAAGCAGGGGAGTGACATGATTTGATTCATGGGGTTCTTATTGAGGTGAAATTCATATAGCACAGCTAGCCATTTTATAGGGTACGATTCCGTGGCATGTAGCGGGTTCGCACTGTGCACCACAGCCCTGGAGCTTTTCACCATCAGGAGGAACACACATGCCCGTTAGCGGCCCTCTCCCCCCACCCCTGTTCCAGTAACAGGTGGGGGAAGAGGTGGCCTGGTGTCACTGCCCTTGCTGAGTGGACGTTGGAGGTGTGTCCAGGCTGCAGTGAGTGTCCATGCCTCACTCCTTGTGGCTGAGTCACACACCATTGTCTGGATGACGCCAGTGCATTTGTCATTTCCAGCTTTTGGTGATTGGGAGTAAGGCTGCTGTGAACTTTGTGAATGAGTATCTACTCAAGCTGATTTCTGATTCAATAGCTGTGCCGCTGTGGAGGCAGATGAAAGGGCCTCGTTTCTGCCCGTGCATCCTCTCAGCCTGCAGGTGGCTGTGCTCCGCTGAGAGGCTGCACTGCCCGGGGCTCACATTGCCATCTGAGTTCTGATCTCGTGGACTACAGTCTGCATCCCATTGCAACGCACCTTTGGGTGATTAGTGAGCATTTTTCATGTCTAATGGATTGTTTCTGGTTTTCCTTTTATGCATCAGCTGTTCATGTTCTGTGCTCATTTCTTTGGAAAGGTTTCACTTTTTTCCCCTCATCCTAATATATAAAAAGCCAGGGGCCATCACGACCTAAGTGACCGATGGACGACAGCAGCAGGCTGCACACACAGCAGGCTCGCGTGGGCAGGGACTTGTGGCAGCAGGGATGGGGGTGGAAGAGGCGAGCCCAGCAGGGGGCGGCCTGTACTCCCCACATGGGTGTGGCTGTGGCTGTAAGCACTCCTGATGGCCTGCAGGCTCTGCCTGACCGCCACCCCCACCCCCCCAAATGTGTTTTATACCACATGCTGTGGGATAAAGCACATTGTGTAAGTTAACAGAAGCCCAGGCACCACCTCCATGCCATACCCTGCTTCCATCAGTCCCAATGGCCCTGAGGTGCCCTCCCTGAGCTGTTTCCGGAGAGGCCTGTGGGAAGATCCCACCCTCGGAGCGCGCCAGGCTCAAGGACACACACACACACACACACACACACACACACACACACACGGAGGGGGCACTGCAAGCATCATGGCGGCAGCCCAGCTCCCTGTGAGGCAAGGGCCTGGGAGGACCCCAGCGACAGAGGCAGCAGTGTGCTGGTCATCTGTGGAGCCCTGTCAGCCGGCTGCCCTCACTCTTGCGATTGCCCTCGCTGCTGGCTGATCCCAGTGCGGCCTCCTGGCCCAGAAGATGCACGATTGCAAGGACAGCCACCGTGGCAGGCCAGGTTGATGTCCTCGTGTATGAACATCCCCCAGAGCACTGTCACCCACGCATACCCACAACAGTCCTGGACCACGGTGCGCGCACGTTCCCCCCACGCCTCTGCCACCCTCCGTCAACCCCAGCATGCCTGTGTCCCCCACACGACGCGCGCGTGTCCCCTCCAGCATGCTCCTGTCCTTTGGAGCGGGTCTGGGTGCTCGCGGTGGGTGCCTGTGAGATGACAGTGAGAGGGCGGAGGCCAGTGCAGTGACAAGATGGAATCTGTGGGGCTAATGCAGATGCTGAGGCTGGAGCACGTGCGGACAGAAACACCTGGTGGGCACAGGTGGCCCTTGCGGAGGTGCCTTCGATCAGTGTTTGAGATCAGGAACGCAGGGAGGGCGAGGAGGTCCATCTTCTCAGTGAAAAGGCAGGAGAATCAGGGAGGCTGCAGAGGAGGAATAAGCACTTTGGGTGCCCACCCCCATGAGCGAAGGCTGCCCTACTGAGCCTCACTCCCCTGGGGCCTAGCGCACTCCTGCCCGGCAGTGGTGACAGGACGTGCTTTTCTGAGTGAATGAGAGAAAACACTGATTCTCCCGCTGCCCGCGAAGGTGGAAGGCGGAGTGGGGAGACATGCGTGGAGTGAGCGAGGTTCCCTGTCTGGGAGTTCCAAATCCACCATTGGTTCCTTTCACCGCTGACTAGAGATATGCAGGGTGCCCCCCCCAAATGCATACACACTTTGAATACCTACTAATTCCAATGAAAAGAAAGAAACAACCTTTCATCTGTTAAAAGTGTGGGCACAAACCGGCAGTTGGACATCCCCCGAGGGGTCCCGGATTGGAGATGATGCAGGCCGGGCTGAGGGACGCCCCCCCCCCCCCCCCCCCCGCACGAATTTCATGCACCGAGCCTCTGGTTAATTTATAAAATCTCTATATATTAAGGGAGTTCATACCATAACGTGCAAGCGTTCTTCTCTGGGTGGTTCTCAACTCTGCCCCCCCCCACACACACACACACAGCTTGGGAGTCGGGGAAGGCCTACCTCCCATGGAACACCCCGCTGCCCCACAGAGGGGTGCTCAGGGGGACAGACAGGTGGCAGGGGTGGCTCAGAGCTTCTTACTGTCCACTGTGTCCATGCAAGTCAGTCAGCACCCTCCACCCCCTCAGCTTCCTCCTCGCTGAGTACTTTGCTGTCCCATTGCCTGCTCCAGGAGATGGGGGCTGCACAGGTTCTTCCAAGGCTCTGGCACAGGTGCGCAGCTGTGCAGTGGAGTCCGAAGAAATCTCTGCCTAAGAGCTACCCAAACGGTGGGCAGGACTGACCTGCAGCAGTTGATGGCCAGACACCTGTTCAGGGGTGCTGTGGGTAGGGGCTGGTCCCCGGAGTTTCACCTCCAGCCATCATGTGACCCCGCGGGCTGGACCGGAGCAGGGTTTTGGCGGCCTTCTGCTGACCAGCATCTTCTCTCTGCAGGCATCACGTGGGGCAAGGTGGTGTCCCTGTACTTGGTGGCCGCGGGGCTGGCTGTGGACTGTGTGCGGCAGGCCCAGCCCGCCATGGTTCATGCTCTCGTCGATTGCCTCGGGGAGTTTGTGCGCAAGACCCTGGCAACCTGGCTGCGGAGGCGCGGTGGATGGGTGAGTGGGGTCTGGGAGTGCAGGGGTGCTAGGGAGGGGAGTGGTGCTAAGGGTGGGAAGATGGGTGAGGGTTGGACTGCTGAGTCCAGGATTGGCCTGCTGTCCCACCTCAGAGTTGACCTGTCCCTAAACCCCCAACTCCAGCTCTAAAGACCCGCAACCGGGTCCCTGCACTGCAGAAGGCGGCCTGCGGAGGGAATTCAGGCCTGAGAGGGAAAGGCCCAGCTCTGTGCTGCCCTCCTCACTAGGCTCCAGCGCCTACTGAGTGATGGCGTTGGTCTTCCCCAACATGTCTCCATGCCCCTAACTGCTCACCTGGCCCCACCAGACCTTGGGGGCTGCTGGGCCCTGGGCATGGGGCGGGGTACCCTCAACCATAGATCTGTTTTCTCTGTAAAATGGAGGGACACCCTGGCAGGAGTGCCGAGCGCAGCCCTCCATTGAGGTTGCAGCCAAGGGCTGTGGTCTCATCCGAAGGGGGCATTGGGCGGGGAGGTATTGGCTCCAAGTGACTCTGTGGCTGTGGCACCCCCAGCACAGGGACTCTGAGGCCTCTGTCCTCTCCTCCCGCCTCCCGCTGGGGCTGGCCATGGTGGCTTCCTGGCGTGGGGCTCCCCTGCCTCCTCTCCCACCTGAACTCTTCCCTTTACTTCTCACCGTCTGAATCCTCATGGAGAGGTTTGGTCCCTACTGGAGCTTTCAGTCCCAACCAGGCCACAGACCTTCCCTCCTCGGCTCAGGGCTCCCTGTTGACTCGGCTGACACGGTTTGAAGGTGCCGGGGGCCTCTGCTCCCCAGCTCTGTTCTCAACTGTCCCTTTCTCCCTGCAGACCGACGTCCTCAAGTGTGTGGTCAGCAGCAACCCTGGCTTCCACTCCCATTGGCTTGTGACCGCACTCTGCAGCTTCGGCCGCTTCCTGAAGGCCGCCTTCTTCGTGCTGTTGCCAGAAAGATGAACCTGGAGCCAGGAGGCTCTGGGCCCAGGCGTTGCCCTCCTCCCGCCGGGCTCCTCGGTACACCAGACCCTGGGGAAGTGGGAACGCAGGCTCCCCTGGGCCTGGAGCTGGCCGTCAGTGCCCACCTGTGGCCCTGCGCCATGTGCCTCTTCTGGAGCCAGAGGTCAGGGTGACCTCCCGGGCCCAGAGGGAAGGCAGCTGGGAACACCACACTCTCACTTGACTCCAGGGTCCCATCACGAAGGGTGACCATGTCAGGACGTTTGACCCGAAGGTGACTTGGGCCTGGCCAAGGCTAGAGGAGCCGTGGGATCTTACCGACCCCCCAGAGCAGAAGGCTCCTGTGCTGTGGCTTAATCCCTTCCTGGAGGGAGAGGGTTCCCCCCTGTGGCAGGAACCAGGCTTGGGCCCCCGGCCGACACACCTGTGAATGCACGAACTCCTGACCTACGAGGACAGGGTGTGTGTTGGATTTCAATAAAGTGTCACAACAGGGGAAGGCGACCGCCTGCGTCTGTGTGCCTATCCGCCTGCGGCTGCCTGGGACCGGACAGGAGGCAGGTGAATCCGGTGTGATAGGCCGTCTTCCCTAATTGGCTGCCTTCTGCTCCTGTGGCCCACAAGCAGGAGCTCACACACCAGCACCCACGCACAGGTGAACAAGAGCAGGGTGCCCAGTCGTCCTGCTCCGCCCAAACCCTGTCTGTCCCTGCCGTTCCCATCCCTTTGCCTGGCTGACAGCCCTTTCCTCACTGCAGCCTGCCCCATGCCCCATGGCCCTGAGCCTGTCCCCTGCAGCCTATCTGACTCCTGCTCGAGCCACAGGTACAATGCCTGCGATGTGGCTTCTCGGCCTCAGTTTCCCTTTCTGTACAAAGCAGGTTAAGCCAGACAACTGCTAAGGTCTAGCCCTGCTTTCCGTGCAGCCTCAGGAAGAAGGGTCCCGATGGTGCAGCTTTCCTCACTGCCCCCATTGCCCCTCCCAGCCCCCCAGCCCCCTGCACTGTCCCCTGGGCCTCTGCTCAGCACCCCTTCCCCAGTGGCCTTGTAGTGCAGGTGGAGAGAAGGAAGGGAGCAGGCAGGAGAAAGGGGTTGGGTGTGGGAGAAGACGACAGCCTCAGTCCAGTGCTGCACAAGGCCATCTTGCTTGCCCTGCTTGCTGTCATTCACTTGGACCAAATGTGCTGGCATTTCCAGCATAAAATAACGTTTCAGACGCTGAGAGCACTCAGCAGTAGCAGGGGTAAAGTGACACATCAGTGGTCTATGCACATACAGGCAGAAGGGACACTGGGAGAGGTGCCCCATTTCCAGCAGCAGCAAAGGATCACGTTCTAGGTGTGAGCCACACGTGTGAAGCCTCTGTGAGGACAATCAGGACCCTAAAGACATCCAAGTAGATAGCAGACAGGAACACCAGCTCCCCGAGAGGAAAGCAGCTCGCGGAAAGGGGGCAGTTCTCCTTGTTTATGAAGTTAATGTAATCCTTACAAACAAACAAAAACCCGGAATGTTTTTATCCTACATTTAAACAAGCTAGTTATAAAGTTCATATGAGAGAAACCAAAAAGCAAAAACAGCCAGAAAAGCCCTTAAAAAGAAGAGGAATGAGGACGGACCGGGCCATCTCTACCAGCCACCAGACCAGGCGCAGGCGGCAGGGACGCAGGCCCAGCCCGAGGACAAGCCCGGAGCAGTGCAGCTCGGGCAGCGGGGAGATGGGTTTGTCACTGATTGTCGACTCACAATGAACCACTTGGGAAAAAACTAAACCAGACCTGTGCGTCCCACTGCACCAAACTCCAAATGGACCAAAAAGCTAAATATAAAAAATGAAACAATACTAGAAATAAGTGAATTTCTTTAGAACTGAGGAGTGGGCAAAACACTCCCAAATAAGATTTAAAATCCAGGAACAATAAAAGACAAAATATATACTGGAAGGAAGTGTTTATAACATTTAACATTTTCAAAAATATAACTTGAGAAACCAAGAGTGGATGTCAGGGACAATAACAGTGCCTGTCTAATGGGTGGATTCAGGCTTTTATTGAGGGGTGATAAATTGTTTTGGAAGTAGACAGATAATTGTTGCACAACTTGCAAATAATACTAAATGACAATGAACCGTATAGTTTTTGGATACTTTAAAATGGAAAATGATGAACTTTATAACTGCATTTTCTCAATAAAAATTGTAATTTAAATTAGGAACGTTAGAATTTATATTTCTAATTCAAAAGAGCTCAGCAGCTCCAAAAATAAAGAAAAGATAAAAAAGGAATGCAAACCAAAACTACCCCAAGATCCATGTCTCATAGATCAGATTGGCCCAAATCCAGAACTGACCACTGGGTGAGGACCGGGCAAGCAACCCACACCCTGCGGGATGCAGAGTGGCGCCATCCCTGTGGGGTAGGGCAATCCCAACTCTAGAAATCTATCCGTTACACTGGCAGAAATGCAAACCCAGGCTATTCACTGACATTCTGTTGGCACAGATTGGAAACAAGCAAATGCCCAGCGTGGGGGGACCTGCTGGATAAACTGGCACATGGCTTCTCTGGGGCACCCTACAGCTGGGCTCTGTGAGGGGCAAAATGTACCTTAGCTTACCATCTTTTTGTTGTTGCTGTTGTTTGTTTTTGGTTAATCTTCACAGGAGGGTATTTTTTCCATTGATTTTTAGAGAGAGTGGCAGAGAAGGGGAAAGATAGGAAATACTCATGTGAGAGAGACACATCAATTGGTTGCCTCCCATATGTGTCCCAACAGGGGTTGGGGATCAAGCCTGCAACGAAGGTACGTGCCCTTGACCAGAATCGAACCTGGGATCCTTCAGTCTGAGAGCTGATGCTCTATCCACTGAGTCAAACCAGCCAGGACAAACTTACAGTTTTGATTTTGACAAAGTAATATAGGATGTTTTACACAAACAAAGCTAACCTAAGAGAACACTCAATTTATAGAAGTTAAAATAAATGATCAAATTGATGACATAAACAACCAGAGAAATGCTTATTCTGATTATATATATTGAAAGAGAGAAACATTGATCAGTTGCTTCCTGTATGCACCCCAACTGGGACCAAACCCGGTATGTGCCCTGACTAGGAATTGAACCAGTGACCTTTCCATGCATGGGCTGAGCCTCACTGGCCAAGGCCTCAATTATATTTTAACTATATTTTTAATGAGGAAGACATAAAAATGTAATAAAAATATCAAACTTTAATCAGTAATCTTACTGTTAATAAGAATATTATTATACCAAAATAATTGTATCCTGTAGAATAAAGCAAATTATTTCAATGTGTGTTTTTTTTTTTAAATATATATTTTATTGATTTTTTTTACAGAGAGGAAAGGAGAGAAATAGAGAGTTAGAAACATCGATGAGAGAGTCATCGATCAGCTGCCTCTTGCACGCCCCCTCCTGGGGATGTGCCCGCAACCGAGGTACATGCCCTTGACCGGAATCGAACCCGGGACCTTTCAGTCCCCAAGCCGACGCTCTATCCATTGAGCCAAACCGGTTTCGGCAAATTATTTCAATGTTTTGAAGAACCACAATTTTCTTTTTCTTTTTTTTTGAACCACAATTTTCGTCTTAAAAGATGTAAAATGAAATATTTTAAGCCGAAATCGGTTTGGCTCAGTGGTAGAGCGTCAGTCTGCGGACTGAAAAGTCCCAGGTTCGATTCCGGTCAAGGGCATGTACACTGGTTGTGGGCACATCCCCGGTAGGGGGTGTGCAAGAGGCAGCTGGTCGATGTTTCTCTCTCATCGATGTTTCTAGTTCTCTATCTCTCTCCCTTCCTCCTCTCTGTAAAATATCAATAAAATATATATATATTTTTAAAAAAGTAATATTTTAAGGAAAAAATAATTAAATCTTAAATTTTGAATTGGAAACAGTGTGGACACATATTTTTTTTTTCTTAAAAAATATGTATGCCACATGCCTAAGCATTTCAGGGTGAAGGTTTATGTAGCACCTTCATCTTTGCATAGTTCAGTGAAAATAATCAATTATAAAATGACTAGAGGTCCAGTGCTCGAAATTTGTGCACTTTGGTGGGGGGGGTCTCTCCGCTCGGCCTGTGCCCTCTCGCAGTCAGGGAGCCCTTGGGGGATGTCTGGCTGATGGCAGTTAGACATCTTTAGTGCTGCCGCAGAGCTGGAGAGGCTCCTGCCACTGCTGCTGCGCTCGCCAGCCATCAGCCTGGCTTCTGGCCCTGTGGGAGCGCACTGATCACCAGGAGCAGCTCCTGCATTGAGCATCTGCCCCCTGGTGGTCAGTGCACACCATATCAACTGGTCATTCTATCGTCTGGCCAAAACTGGCTCTTTGACATCCTCCAAGGGGTTTGGGATTGTGAGAGGCTTGTGTGAGGCAACCAATTGATATATCTCTCTCACGTAGATATTTCTCTATCTCTCTCTCCCCACCTCCTTCCTCTGTCCACTCTCTGGAAATTAATGGAAAAAATATCAGGTGAGAATTTTTTTTTTAAAATATGTTTTATTGATTTTTCACAGAGAGGAAGAGAGGGGGATAGATAGTTAGAAACATCGATGAGAGAGAATCATCGATCAGTTGTCTCTTGCACACCCCCCACTGGGGATGTGCCCGCAATTCAGGTACATGCCCTTGACCGGAATCGAACCCGGGACCCTTCAGTCCGCAGGCCGACGCTCTATCCACTGAGCCAAACCGGTCCCGGCCATCAGGTGAGAATTTAAAAAAAAAAAGTAGTAACAAAAATAAGTTACAAAATTGCCATTCTCTGAAGCATTATCTCAATTAATTGAGATTTTGCTTCCTGGCAATTAATAGAGGTCTTTGCTAGGAAATGTCTACATTGCATGAATGGACTGTTTTGGGTGATTCTGGTGCTTCAGAGAGAAAGCTTCCATCTTCTTAGAGAAATCTGAGCCACCCTGAGCAGAATGTTGCAGAAATATGGATAGTAAAGGCCATTCTGATGTCATCTCATACGGAAATGAGGGTCAAGTTCTCAGAAGCTGGAGGAAGGGTGATGGTTGCTATAAAATGTCAGAGCCCTCAGCTGAACTGCATCTGTGACTGAGATCTGTGGATGGTAGAACATGTGAGTCACGAGACTGGCTATTTGGCAGGAAATTTCTAAGCTAAGTCAAAGACTTGAAGGAGTCGCCTAATATCTCCTGAATACTATAGTAAAATGCAGGAAGAGAGAAACTACTTGCAAACACAATTATTCATCAAAAAGGAAGCACACTGCCTGGCCAGCATGGCTCAGTGGTTGAGTGTTGACCTATGAAACAGGTCATGGTTCCATCCCTAGTGTTGGGCGTGCAGGAGGCAGCTGATCAATGATTCTATCTCATCATTGTTTCTCTCTCTCTCCCTCTCCCTTCCTCTCTGGAACCAATAAGACACACACACACACACACACACACACACATATGGAAGACGACCTTAAAAACCTGGAAAATTCTCAGTCTATCCACATTGAAAGTAATGAGTAAGCTTGCTCTGAGGAAGCATGACAAGTGTGCCCAGATTTGATAAGGAGATTAGTATTAATTGATCATCTCAAAGAAGTTTGGGTGATTTTCTACAACCCTGGGGAAATTAGCCAGCCCCCTTCACAGAAGCCAGGGCCTATGGTCCAAGACCAAGAATGACTGAAGAAGGCATTTCATAGAGCATGGCGTGCCCTCCCCTTACAAGCCCAGAGCGAAATGGCCTGCTAGTCACTTTTTTTCTCAATCAGCAATAATCATGCCTCAGCTAGATCTCATTGGCTATGGCAGCCACTGCACAATGCTCCCCCACATACTTGAGCCACCCCTTTAGGAGGCACAGGCTGTACACATTGGTGGCATGTGTATGAGCCATGAGGGCTGTTACCTCCCCCTAGAGTTTGGAAGTTGCAGTGGTGCAGGGCTCATGACCCAGGCAGAGCGCCAGGCCCTACATGGGTGAGCCCCCTGCAGAGAGCTCCCCTCTAGGATGACCCAGGTGGACAGAGCCACTGGTAATGTTACTGCAGCCCAGGAGGAACCTCTACCCAAGGCAGCCCAGAGGCAGACATGAGGACAGAGGATTATTCTGAGGCTTAAGGTTTTGGTTTGCTCAGGACCTGTCACTTCCTGCCCACTCCTTTGGAATGGAAATGTCCACCCCATGCCTGTCTCAGCACCTTATTTTGGAGGCACATTCCTTGTCTGGTTTCACAGGTTAACAGCCATAGGGCTGTGCCTCAGGATGAATTGTACCTGATCTGCTCCAAGTGCCCAGCTTCCCTGTGCTCCTGGCACCTGGGGAACCAGCCGAGTTCCTTAACTGCTGGCCATGCTCCTCCCATATGACAGCTCAGAGCCAGCTCTGGTTCCTCCTCTAAGCTTCCAGGGGTGTCACCTGATAATGCCTTTTGTCCTCAAGCCACCTCCTGGTAATGTCTTTTGTCCCCAAGCCCTGATAGGATGCAGCTGCTCTTGAAGGTGCTAACCTTGCTCAGCTGGAGCACGTCCTTCTACATGTGCCTGTGCTCCTGGTGTGGATTCTGATACCCTGGTGTGTTAAGAAAATAAAAAGCTTTGTTTTTAAATGCATATTGAAGCATTTAGGGGTCAATGACTTTGTCAGGAATTTGCTTAAAAATACTCTAGCAAAAAGACGGCGGAAGAACAGGTGAAATCACTGGGATGGAAAAGCTGGCAGGTGTTAAAACTGGGAGACAGGTACACAGGTCAGTGTATGTCTGCAAACTCAACAGTCAACAAAGAAAGAAGTCCAAGTAATATAATATTTCAGAGTAATAAAATAAGATGTACATAATAACACTAATTTCACGACTACCCTCTTGCCTTGGGAACATCCTTTTTCCTTATGGAAATGGGGTCCTTCGGCTCTTTTAGCTCATTAAAAACCACAGCAATCCTTTCTGTCCCGTCTTTGTCCTTAGTTTATGATTGACCATTATACTTAAGGTTTATAGATATTTCAGAGCTTGTAAAAATGTAGTCTTTTTTAGGGAAAAGACTCTGGAAAACAGGCACCATCAGATGAGGAGATGGACAATCCACACACATGATAATATCAAAATGTTCCGCCATAAAAATAAAGGCCTTTTATTTGGTTTTTCTATGCCATTACAGGAACACAGGGCAATACCCTTGATCCCCCTGGGAACTGCAGCCACACCCACACTTGCTGCTGCGGCGTTTGTGAGAAGCCTAGTGTCGCATCCTGACACACATGGCCAGGATGAAGCTCTGCTCTAGGTCATGGGGTCACCTTCTTGTAGGTGATGTGAAGATGCTGAGTCATGGGTTGGGTAGTGGTTGCCATGGAGACTGTCTGTTCAAGTTTGCCTTCAGAATTCAGCCTGAATTTTCGGGTAATCTGAGCAGAACAAAACAAATACAAAACATCTTAGTTTTATCTTCCAAAGATATAACATTGAGGTCTCATCACAGGCCAAGTATTCCCCCAGGGGCTGTGACAAGTCACCTTAGTGATCAAATGACAGACTCTGCCTACCAAGTTACAGCATCTGCCAAGATCCAGGTGTCCTTGCCTTTCTCTGTCCCCAGCAGACCATGACTTGGTCCTTCCCATCTTAGGGTACTTAGAAGCCATCTTTTTTTTCTGTCTGTAAGTTATATACTTGATCAGGCTGGTGACCTTCCCACTTCACTCTACAGCTTGCACTGATATCACACATGTTCCTGGAAAACTTAGTAGCAGCACTTAGAAACAAATTATGGCTGCTGTTACCGAAACAAGCAACCTGTGAGAAAACCTTTTCTGCCTGGGATGTCTGCAGAGTGAGGAACCACGGCAACAAATGTAAACCACCATTCTCCAGAGCATTATCTCAATTAGTTGAGGTTCTGCTTCCCTGCATATGTCGACAGTTTGGCTCAAATAAACACACAAAAGTTCGTTACAGGTTTCAATGGTTTTTTTACATTAACATCCTAGATTCACTGGTACATTGGAGTGTGAGAACTGGTATGAGTGATGAGCAGTTAATTTGCTTAAAATGTAGCTATCATCACAATATAAGCAGAAGGGCATTTCTGAAGATTCCTGGGTGGAGTAATGAACACAGTGCTTTAAAGAACGGCACTGGGGAGAGATCAAAGGTTGTGGCCACAGGGACCTGGCAGTGTGGGTGTAGCCTGCTATCACTGAGGAAGAAAGGGCAATTCTCTGTGACTCATGGAATGTGGAAGCTAACGGGGAGGAGGTCAGAAACAATTCAAGGCTATGAGCCCTTGTTCTTTCAGCTCTAAGTCTGAGTTCAAGACCCCAGGCTGGCTTTGCTGTTTAATTAAACAGAGATGGTCCTTATTTTTAAGACATTCTTAGCTGTCCTACTTGGTTTTCAACAGGCTGTCAAGACCATTCAATGTGGAAAAGACTTTCTTTTCAACTCATGGTGCTGGGAGAACTGGATATTCACACACAAAAGAATGAAATTGGACCCTTATCTAATAGAATATACAAAAACAATAACAGATCAAAGACTGGAATATAAAAGCTAAATTTATAAGCCTCTTAAAAGAAAAATGAGCAAAAGCTTCAATGACACTGGACTGGGCAACGATTTTTTGTAACACCAAACACAGTCAACACCACAAAACAGATAAACTGGACATCATGAATATTTTAAAAATTTACTCTATCGATAGTGTCCTTTGATATATAAATGGCAGCCCACAGAATGAAAGAAAATATTTGCTGGTCAAATACTTGATAGTAGAGGTAATAGCCAGAATACATTAAGAACTCATCCGATCCAACAACAACAAAAACAAACAATTCTGGCTTGGCCAATGTGGCTCAGTGGTTGAGCATAGACTCATGAACCAAGAGGTCACTGAGTTGATTCCTGGTTCAGGACTTATGTTGAGGTAGTGTGGGGCTTGACCCCTAGGTAGGGAGCATGCGGGAGGTGGCTGATAGATGTTTTTCTCATTATTGATATTTCTTTTCTTTTAAAAAAATATTTTTATTGATTTCAGAGAGGAAGGGAGAAGGAGAGAAAGAAACATTGATGATGGGAGAGAATAATTGATCAGCTGTCTCTTGCACACACCCTATTGGGGATTGAGCCCACAACCCAGGTATGTGCCCTTGACCAGAACTCTATCCACTGAACCAAACTTGCTAGTGCTCATTGATGTTTCTATATCTCTCTCCCTTTCCTTTTCTCTCTTTCTAAAAACATATTTTAAAAACAAAGATTGCTGGAATTTCATTGTAAAAAACAAGCAAACAAAAAACCCCAAATAACCCTGTTCAAATATGGACAAAGGACTTGAATAGACATTTCTGCAAAGATACATGAATGGCTAACAAGCCCATGAGAAGATGCTCGACAGCACTGATCATGGGAAACACAAATCAAACCACAGTGATGCCTCCTCATTCATCAGGATGGCTGCTATCAAAACCCCAGAAAATATCAAGTGTTGATGAGGATGTGGAGAAACTGGAACCCTGTGCATATGAGAGGAATGGAAAATGGTGCAGCTTCTGTGGAAAACAGTATAATGGTTCCTCAGACAATTAAACCGAGTTACCACATGACCCAGCAATTCCACTCCTGAATACAGACTGAAACAATTGATATCAGGGTCTCAGAGATATCTGCACACTCACAGAAGTGATCCGAGTGTCCATGGACGGAAGAAAGGTTAAACAAGCCGAAACCGGTTTGGCTCAATGGATAGAGCGTCGGCTTGGGGACTGAAAGGTCCCGGGTTTGATTCCGGTCAAGGGCATGTACCTTGGTTGCGGGCCTATCCCCAGTAGGAGATGTGCAAGGGGCAGCTCATCGATGACTCTCTCTCATTGATGTTTCTAACTCTCTATCTTTCACCCTTCTTCTCTGTACAAAATCAATAAAATATAAAAATATATAAAAAAAAAAAAAAAAAGAAAGGTTAAACAAAATGTGGTCCATTCACACAAGGAAATATATTAGCCTTAAAAAGGAAGGAAATCCTGCCATGTGCGACAACATGGATGAATCTTGAGGACATTATGCTGATAAAATAAGCCAGTCATAAAGAGACAAATACTGGCCGAAACCGATTTGGCTCAATGGATAGAGAGTCGGCTTGGGGACTGAAAGGTCCCGGGTTCGATTCCGGTTAAGGGCATGTACCTTGGTTGCGGGCATATCCCCAGTAGGGGGTGTGCAAGAGGCAGCTAATCGATGACTCTCTCTCATTGATGTTTCTAAATCTATCTCTCTCCCTTTCTCTCTGTACAAAATCAATAAAATATATTTTTAAAAAAACTGTATGATTCCACTTACATGAAGTACTTAAAGAGTCATTAAAATCACACAAAGAGAAAATAGATGGTAGCCGCCAGGGTCCGGGAGAAGGGAGAAAGGGGAGTTATGGATTCATAGATAGTTTCATATTTACAAGAGCCATGGTGATGGCTGCACAGCAATGTGAATTATAAAAATCACTGAAGTGTACCCTAACTGGTTTGCTCAGTGGATAGAGTATCGGCCTGTGGACCGAGAGGTCCCAGGATTCTGAAAGGGCATGTACCTTGGTTGCGGACACATCCCCAGTAGAGGTGTGTAGGAAGCAGCTGATCGATGTTTCTAACTCTCTATCCCTCTCTCCCTTCCTCTATGTAAAAATAAAATAAAATAAAATAAAATAAAATCCATAAAATATATTGAAAAAAAATCACTGAAGTGGACACTTGAAAATGGTTGAGATGACAAATTTTTTATTATATGTATTTCAACTCAATATAAAAACATTGAAAAAGAAAAAAAAGTTGGGTGTGCAATAAACTTAAAAGGCATTGTTGCCAGCAGATTCGTGCTATGAGAAACACTGTTAATGCAGGTCTTCAGGATGGAGGGAAATAGTACCATGGAAAGCTCAGACTGACAGGAGGGAGGCAAGGGCAACAGAGAGAGAAAATAAATGGATAATTATAAGAGATTACTTCCCCTCATAATTTGTTTGGAAGTCAGCTGACTATTTAAAGCAAAAGTAACAATGCCATGAAGGTTCCTAGTGTAATGTGTTTGTGTGTCCATCCCCCATATGGGCCAGGTGTGGCGACAGCAGCACAGGAGGTTACAGAGCTGTGAGGTTAGGATTCGTGAAATGGAAAGGGGAAAGTTCAGCTGCAAAGTGAGCACAGGATTATCCAAAATCAGGTGGGAAGTGGGAGTGTAATACACTGATTATAAGTTAAGATGCAGATAGCCTGAAAGCAGTCCTTAAGAAAGATAGTTAAGAAGCTAACAGAAGAAATTGCCGAAACCGGTTTGGCTCAATGGATAGAGCGTCGGCTTGGGGACTGAAAAGTCCGGGGTTCGATTCCGGTCAAGGGCAGGTACGTTGGTTGCGGGCACATCCCCAGTAGGGGGTGTGCAAGAGGCAGCTGATCGATGACTCTCTCTCTTCGATGTTTCTAGCTCTCTATCTTCTTTCCCTTCCTCTCTGTACAAAATCAATAAAATATATTAAAAAAAAGAAAAAAAAAAAGAAGCTAACAGAAGAAATAGAACAGAATGCTAAGAATATTTAACCCAAGAGAACATAGTAAAGGTCAACCCAAGGAAAAAGATAAAAACTCACAGGGAAAGGCCAACCCAGGGCGGGAGGCCAACCAGGCAGGTGAGACCAGCCTTTGGTCAGCCAGGCCACTTTGCAGAGCAGAGCCCTCCCCTTGTCCCTGCCTCCCACAGGCCTCACCTCCGCCACTCCCTCCTTTTGCAGAAGAGCACTTTTTGTTTATTAATAAAACCCAAAGTTAGTTCTCTAGTGAAAATAACCAAAACCCTGATAAAATAGGAAGCCTCTGGCAAGAAGAAAAAGAGAAGACACAGAAAATCCAAGGGGACATATGTGTCACTTCTCCAAACTCTGAAAATCTTGATACAAGGAGCCGTGAATTTACAAAAGTGAGGTAGGGCCTGGAGACGAACAGTGGAGGCAGAAGCAGCATCCAGGCCTGGGTCCCTTTGCTCCCCAGTGCCAGACCAGACATGTTCCCAAGGGGGTCACCGCTTAGTCCTGTGGGGGCCACCCTTGCCAGCGGGCAGCAACAGCTAAGGAGCTCTGAGAATAACTGATACCAAAATGGACAACATCTGAAAAAATCATTTAATTCATTATAACTAGTGAAAGTGATCTTCAAACATGACTCAACATTTAGAGTTATTAATATAATTCACTGCATTGACAGCTTCAAGTGGAAAAAACACAGAATCTTCCCCAAAGAGGCTGCAAGAGCATTTGAAGAAACTCAAAACCCTTTCTTGAAAACAATTCTTAGCACACTAGAAACAGGATCTTCTTGACCCAGTCACGGCCTCCAGTAAGCATCAAACAGGGCTGTGACAGCGCAGTACATCAGGAAGTCAGGCCTGAGGTCAACAGGTTCCCCTGTGACCCTGGCAGTGCCATGCCCAGACTCGGTGGTCAGAGACAGACAGATATGACTTGGAGGGACAGAAACATACAGAAACCATGTGTTCCCTTATAACCACCAACAACCAGTTAGAAGATAAAATGGAGACAACAGTCTATGCACATAGCAACAGAAACTATCCGGCACTTAAGGCTTCACCCTACCACGAAGTGGCCAAGACCTATATGATTTAAGTGATAAAGAAATCTTTTGATATCTTTAGTGAACACAACACACTAGACCTGAAATCACTGCAGCACACCACCACACTGCTGTGTAGCACTACCCATGGAAAGACTCCAGTTCTCCCCCATCTAATTCATGTATTCACGCAATCTTGATTTATATTTTATGGACCTAGACAAGCCCATTGGACAGCTTATCTCAAGGAGGAATATGTGTATTTTTAAAATATGTTTTGATTAACTTCTGAGAGACGAAGGGAGAGGGAGCGCAAGAGAGAAACACTGATGAGGTAAGAAATACCGATTGGCCCTAACCGGTTTGGCTCAGTGGATAGAGCATTGGCCCGCGGACTGAAAGGTCCCAGGTTTGATTCCAGCCAAGGACATGTACCTTAGTTGCGGGCATATCCCCAGTAGGGGATGTGCAGGAGGCAGCTGATTGAGGTCTCTTTCTCATCCAATGTTTCCAATTCTCTATCCCTCCCCCTTCCTCTCTGTAAAAAAATCAATAAAACATATTTGAAAGAAAGACAGACAGAAAAGAAGAAAGAAAGAAGGATTAACTGCCTCCTGCATGTCCTGTACTGGGGATTGAGGTCGAAACCCAGGCATGTGTCCTAACTGGGAATTGAACAGGCGACCTCCTGCTGCATGACTCACCACTCAACCAACTGAACCACACAGGCCAGATGATGTGTTGTGTTTTTAAGTTGATTTTTCGAGAGAGAGGAAGAGAAAGAGAGAAAGAAACATCTATCGGTTCCTTCCTACATGTGCCTGAACCGGGGATCAAACCTGCAACCTAGGTATGTGAATCAAACCAAACATCTTTTGGTTTCAAGGGATGTCACTCCAATCAACTGAGCCACACTGGCCAGAGCTAATTAAGAAAATGTTAAAAATTAAGAACTTTCTCTAGACATTAAAATATAACGAAGTGTGATAATTTTAAATTATTAGATGATTTAAAATACTATTGAAAAAGTAGACAAAGAGAAACAGGCCCCTCCCCCTATTTATGAGGGACGTGGCTTGAGATAGTCATGACATTTCAAATCTGTGGGGTCACCATTCATCCATCTGAGGAAAGTCCAAACTATATGTTGCATTCTGTAAAAACAAATCTGAGAGAAACTAAAGATCTGAGTGTAAAAATGAAAGCTACAAGAGTACAAGAAAATGGAAGAATAATTTTATCATTTTGGAGAAAACAACTTTCTGAGCATGAACCTAAATCCACACACCACAAAGAAAAAGACCCCCAGAGGCAACCACAGTAAAGCTTACAGCCTGTGGGTAGAACACTTCATAAACCAAAGTCACACAAGCCACCAAATGGGGAAATGCAGACAATAGAGTAATATCCATAGTATATTAAAAAAAAAAGACATAAATCAGTAAAAAAATGAAAGCCCATAAAAAAACAGACACTGACTTTAAACATCAAGTACAAAGAACAAGAAATACCAATACGAGTGTGGGGAATCCTCCCTCTCATAAGTTAAATTTAAAACATGAATGAGATGCAATCTCTTCTTTATCAGATTAGATTAATAAAGTTTGAAGATATTGATATTCAGCATATTGATAAGGGAGTAGGGAACCAGGCACTCATGCAATGCCGATAGGAATTCATTAATAAAAAGAATTTACTTGTATCTATCAAAATTTTATTTATTTATTTATTTAAAAAAAATATATTTTATTGATTTTGTACAGAGAGGAAGTGAGAGAGATAGTTAGAAACATCGATGAGAGAGAGTCATCAATCAGCTGCCTCTTGCACACCCCCTACTGGGGATATGCCCGCAACTAAGGTACATGCCCTTGACCGGAATCGAACCCGGGTCCCTTCAGTCCCCAAGCCGTCGCTCTTTCCGTTGAGCCAAACCGGTCTCAGCTTGTATCTATCAAAATTTTAAATGTTCCTATCCTTTGATCCAACAATTAAACTGGGAGAAATTTATCCAACAGATGTGGATATATCTGCAAAAGTGAACACCACAAATGGAAAAGGATGCTTGTGACAGAAAAACAAGGAACCTGAGAACCTCCCTGCCCACCAGCCAGGACATTAAGTGAGGAAGAAGGATGTGCCATGGAGACAGGTCCCCAAGACAAAGTGAGGAGACAGAGCAATGTGCAACCAATCCTGCCGACACCACAAAGTGACGTCCGAGAGGGAGAACAGGCTCACCTGTTCCACGTGGGGCTCCTTGGCAAAGGAGATCCTGGCGATGGAGTGGGATGCGATGCACAGCTCCTGCCCGTTCACCTCGCCCTCCTCCACCTCCACAATGCCTGCAAGGGAGGGCCATCAGTCCATGACAGACTGCCATCTTTGCATTCATAGATTCAACAGACCTGAACTCTGCAGCCATCAAGGCCACAAGGCCCCTTGTCTGCAATGAACCTTCTGATATCAAGAGGGGGAAAACACAACTCCTCTTATTAGTACAGCCAGGGCAGGTGATCTACAGAGGGTTGCCCTCTCCAGGGGTGCCCCGACTCCAACCTCCACCCGTCTTTCCCATCCCCCTCAAATAGGTCCCCTAGGATCTGAGAGGAGGGAAAGGTGGCCAGGGATGGACATGCCTCTGGTTACCCACTGACTTGCAGTCCACCAATGTCCTGGGCTCCATTCCAGATTGGGCTGGTCCTAACTGTCCACCTACTTCCAGGAAATGACTCACCTGAGCCAGTGAGCAGGTAAAGGTCAACAGCTGGGTTCTGTGTAATTTCTAACTGATGAATCTGGTAAGCTATTTTAGAATGACCTCATTTTAGGGGCAAAGCAGACTTCCAGACAAGAGCTTTCAGATGGACAGGGAGCCTCCCTGGTCTAGCTCTCTCGCTAGGGTCGCGTCCCCATAGGAAATACCCGTCTGAAGCAGGGTTCTGGGAGCCAAGGAGTGTGCTGTCATTGAGGGAACTCAGGTTAAAAAAAAAAAAAATCAGCCTGTCCTCACAGAAACAGTCCCTTACACCTCGTGTGGACCTGAGAGGATGCAGACAGGACCCCACCTGCTGGCTCCCCACCTGCAGGCCCCACTGCGCTTCTCCTGATGCTTCCTGCCCCGAGAGGCACCCACAGGATTAGGGCATCATGTGACCCCCACAAAATGTCTGTGAGCAGGGACACCGGAGCGACTGAAAGAGCAGAGGCAGATGCTACCTCACCCAGGGGCCATCTGGCTGGCTGGCAAGAGGTACCTGTGTTCTGGGCGCTGACGAAGGCCACCTTGTTGGTGTCGGGTTCTAGCCGGATGAAGCCGCACTCTCTGTGCATGGGCTTCCGCGTGTCCGGGTGGAAAGCGTTGAACCTGCATGGGGACCAGGGGGTGAAGACAGGGCAGCGGTGAGGGTAGGATGCAGGGCCACAAATGCAGGCTTTGTGTTCACCCTCCCCACTTTATAAGGCCCCCACTGAGCACAAGGTTAATACACTTCTCGCTCACAGGGGAAGACATTTGAGCAACCACATTCGTGGACTGTGGCCACCAGGTGCATTAGGGGTTCGACCTCTAGCCTGGAAGCACCCCCTGGAACCTCCCCACACGCACAGCCAACATGTTCTTTGTAATTGTGGCTACCCTTCCCAAGGTACTTTCAGCCCTGCACCTGGCATGCTTCAGGCCTCAGCACCAAATCCCACCCTTGCACCAGGCCTGCCCTCCCCAGAGCTATCATCTTGCATTGGACACCCACTCATCTACCCGGTGGGGAAAAAACAGGCCGAGTCAGGACTCCACTTCTTATCCATCAACCTGCATCATGATGCAAGGTCACGGTGACAGAAGAGACAGCTGTGCTGAGTTCTGCACTTAGACTCTAACAGAACTTTGCCAGCACTGCGAGCTGCCGTTGGAACCAACCCTTAATAGGGCAGCGCTGGTGGCCACATGATGCCCTCTCTCCACAACCCTAATGAGAAATACGCTCTAAATAATAGTCTAACACACTCACAATTCTGTTCACCAAAATAGATACTTTATACCACAGTCACAAAATCATTTTTAAGTTGTAGCCCACTGTTTAACAAGACTGTTTTATACTGCCCATTATTTTTGTTATCCAGAGTTTCCTCTTCAGTGTTATGTACAGAATATTACTTTGCCCTATCCATTCAGTCAATAATGCAAAAAGAGATAATATTTTTAAAAGCAAGATCTTCTAAACCCTTCTGAAGTTTTTAGACATGACATAAACAGAATCCAGTTAATTTAATAAGATTCTTAATATATAACTAAATGTACAGCCGATATTGGGGAAGGGCAGACTTTTACTTTTTATATTTTCTCACTGCTTAAACTTTAAAAACCGTGTGTTATCTCTGAAATAAATAAAAATATTCTCAGCCACCTCCCCTGGTTCCCTTCTATTTAGCCACCCGACATTCGACCTGCCTCCTGGGGCTGGGGCCAGGGTGAAATGAACACAGCTGGAGGACTTTTGCTTTGTTGTCTAATAAGAACCTGAGAACCACAATATTAACAGCTCCTTTGAGACCTCAATCAACTAGGGGTAAGTCTAAAAGAAAGTAAGCGCTCTCCTTTTCAGGAATATTGGGTGAAGGGTTTAGTTAAGCACGAGCACTTATTCTGTGTTTGGGTTAACACGTCTGACGTCTTGCCAGCCCACCATCATCACATACATGAACCAGAACGTCCTGTCGTTGGCCATCACGTTTCAGCGGCCAGTGCAGGAAGCCTCTCTGGGGCATGCCCTTCCCACCTGGCATTCTCCCGGAGACTCAGGCGCACTTACGAGAAGTTGAGCATGGGCTGGCCCACGTGGGAGATGTGCACCTCCTCCAGGTACTGGAAGGGCTGCAGTGTTGGGAAGGTCCCAGCTCCTGGCGGGTCTGACAGCCAGGTGCCCAGCATCCAGGACAGCGGCTCCACCACTGGGTTCATCTTGGGAGACTCTAAGGACAAATGGGAAAGACAGTCAGTGGCTCCACTTCCACTGTTCTCCTTCTGAACAAGCCCTGCTGAGCTGTGTGTGAAAATACACTCTGTCAGTACATGCCTCGTAATTTACAGCGGATCCTGCTGATTCTAAACATGCTACCAGCCACCTGTCAAGAGTGGGAGAAAAAGGCCAAACAATGAGTAAATGTTATCTTGCAGATAAGTGTCCGAATGTGTCATCTCCTACATGAAGGGAGACCAGAAGATCCATTGAAGAGATAGGAGTTCTAGAAGCACCTTGGTCTTTGAAGTGTGGCTGGTCCACTGAGGTATGCTTTCAGTGAACAGCATGCTGGGTTTCCAAAACACAGTTCAAAAAAAGAACTACAAATATCTTAGTAATTTTAAGTATTGGTGGGTTACATGTGAAAATGATGTTTTAGGTAACATTGGGTTAAACAAAATACATTATGAACATTAATTTCACCTGCTTCTACCTTTTTAATGGGCTCTTAGAAAATTTTAAGTAACACAAGCCTCAGGGGCTGAAAAGCAGAGTAAGCGGCCACAGCCATGATGGATTGATCTGAGTTACCAACGGTAGGGAGTCGGGTGGCCCCGGGCTGGTCTATGGCATTCAGGACCAGGCGAAAAGGTGTTTTATTATCATAACAAAAATAAGAGTGGGATGGATTAGTGATAAAAAAAATTTAAGTTACATATGAGCTCATGTTATGGACAGTCTCAACATTCAGGGAACACAGTTTCTGTGAATTGTCCCTAGGGATGTTACTAGAAGGCAGACTTCACCAAGAGACACCAAAAATGATAGCAAAAGGAATCACAGTAAGTAAATACTGAACACATTCCACAGAAACACACATGTTGTGTGACTCAGTGGTTGAGCATCAACCTATGGACCAGCAGGTCATGGTTTGATTCCCAGTCAGGGCACATGCCCAGATTGCCATGTCAATCCCCAATGGGATTTATGCAGGAGGCACATCTCTCATCATTGACCTTTCTTTCTTTCTATTAAAAATTTTTTTTCATTGATTTCAGAGAGGAAGAGAGAGGGAGAGTAAGATAGAAACATTAATGATGAGAGAGAATCATTGATCAGCTGCCTCCAGCACACCGGAGGCTCAACTACTGAACTAGGATGGCCGGGCTCATCATTGATGTTTCTCTCTTTTTCTCTTTCTCTGAAATCAATAACAATATTTTAAAAAGAAAAAGCATAGGCACAATATAAATAATAAGAGCTAAGTGCAACCACACTTGAACTCACATAAAGAAAAAGCTTTTCAGCAGGGACTGGTTTGGCTCAGTGGATAGAGCGTCGGCCTTCGGACTGAAAGGTCCTGGGTCCGATTCTGGGCAAGGGCATGTACTTTGGTTGCGGGCACATCCCCAGTGGGGGGTGTGCAAGAGGCAGCTGATCGATGATTCTCTCTCATCGATGTTTCTAACGCTCTATCCCTCTCTGTGAAAAATCAATAAAAAATATTTTTAAAAAAAGAGGAAAAAAAAAAGAAAAGAAAAAGCTTTTCAGATGGATCACAAAACAAGACACTAACTCCTGTGCTATGAACAAGAGAGCACTAAATCAAATGACTCAGCAAAGTGTTTCAGAAAGGGGGGCAGACACATCAGGAAGAAAGCAAGGCCAAGCACCTACTGTCAGGTAAAACAAAGTTTAAGCCACACAATGGCTGAAGGGACTGCAATGTGAGTGCTCGTGCAGCAGCATTTAGGTAGCAGAAATTACTGAAGAGATACACATTGACAGAGAGAAGCTAAAGGATCTATCCAAGTGAATAAAATACAAAAACAAAATACCTATATAGCATGATAAATAAGGCACTTCTGATGGATACATGAACTTTGTAGCTGAAAACTAGAGGATACTCCTTTTCTTTTTAAAATACATTTTTATTGATTTTAGAGAGGAAGGGACACGGAGAGAGAGACAGAAACATCAATGATGAGAGAGAATCATTGATTGGCTACCTCCTGCATGCCACCTACTGGGAACTGAGCTGGGAACCCAGGCATGTGCTCTGAGGTGTCTGCACTAGGTCATCTAATTACTCTGAGAAATACTGCACATTTGGTCCTGGCTTGCTGTTACTTGCTTTTATTTATTTTTTTCAAAAAAAAATATATTTTATTGATTTTTTTTTTTACAGAGAGGAAGGCAGAGGGAGAGTTAGAAAAATTGATGAGAGAAATATCAATCAGCTGCCTCCTGCACTCCCCCTATTGGGGATGTGCCTGCAACCAAGGTACATGCCCCTTGACCGGAATCGAACTTGGAATTCATGTGCCCGCAGGCCAAACTCTATCCACTGAGCCAAACCGGTTAGGGCTGTTACTTGCTTTTAACTGTAAGGAATTTTAATCTGAACAGGACATCAGGCCTGGCAGTAAATACCAGCAGGCAGGTGGGTTCCATGACCCTCGAAGCAGTGCCCACAGGTTCCTCCACTGCTCCAACCTGTCTGGGCACATCTTTCCTTGTTTTCACTGAAGCTTTGAGGCAGGAGAACAACCAACAAAATAATTCTAAGATCCAAATGTCAGATTACACGAGCCTGTCCAATTTCATTAAACTATATCCTTAAGATTTGTGTATTTTACCTACATAAATTATACTTCATTATAAAAATAAAATGAATTTTAAAGTCAAACAAATAAAAAGTATAATAATACAGGACCTGACTTATTTTCCACTTTCAATCTCTTTAAGTAAACTCGACAGGATTTTCTATGCATTTTTTTTCCTGGATTTCATTTTTCTTTTTTTAAAGTCAACCAATATGCAAAAAACTTTTAATTTCCCCCAAGAAACTTAAATTTTCATTTTTTGGCCTGAGGCAGCAAAAGAAGGCTTACCCATCCCTAAATTTTCTAAACTCCAGAACACGGGCAAGGTTCTTCAAGGTTGTTTTCTTCCAATTGACGGGAAATGTTTGCACCTGGCTGTTAAAGAGCTCGGCAGGAAGTGAATGCCAAACCTAAAGAATGCATTCTGGGAACTGTAGTTCCCTATAAAAGATGACTCCTCAAATCTGAGAGGGAAGGTGGGGGGAGGGTAGTGGGTGGGAAGAGATCAACTGAAGAACCAGTACACAAACAATAGGAGGGTGGGGCAGACTAGAAGGGGTCAATGGAGGGGGGAATGTATGTAATACTTTCAACAATAAAGATTTAATAATAAATAAAGAAAAAAGATGACACCTCAGAAAAAAATGGAAGACAAAGCCAGACTTGGAGATGACCGGGTCCTAGAGCTGGGAGGAGAGGTCAAGTTGAATTTTATGAAGGTCAGTCAGACCAGAGAGGTCACGTCTTGTGTGGAGGATGAAGGGGGACCACCACCCTCAGCTACTTCCACTGACTACAGAGGGAAATGACTTTTTCAACAGGGAAATGTTGGGCAGCCAGACACAGAGCGAAGCTGCTTCTTTCTGAACAGTCTCCCAGAGTGCTAGCTACCCACTCCTCCTGTCTTTTCAAGTGGACGCTCAGAACTGCTCGGTCTCTTGGCAAATGTATCAGCGTACCGGCCCTGGACTCAATGACAGGAAATACTTACTGAGACCTAGAGACAGACTTCTTCCTGGCACCTCCCACCCTCACAGCACTCTGTGACAACAGTGTTTCCCACCCCAGCACACTGGAAATGATACTAACTGCAAAGCATGGCAGGGCAGGGAGAGTTAAGAGTGCCGCTGCTTGCCTAGCACTGGCCATCCCGAGTGGAGAGGACACTATCTAGCATGCTACCATTGTGCACTGGAATGGCACAACAGGTAAAGAAATAGCAAGGCCCTCGCTTTATCACCTGTTAAATGGAAAGGCACCACCACAGTTCTTATAGCACAGGAATATGCAAGTTATTAATTCAAGTTCTGCTGCTTCAATTACCAGCCATGTACATGCCAGACACAATGTGAACCCCTGGAAATGCCATCATACAGTGTTCTGTCTTTAAGGAACAGTGTGGCCATTTGTAATGTGTGTGTTTATTAAATATATTTTATTGATTTTTCACAGAGAGGAAGGGAGAGAGATTGAGAGCTAGAAACATTGATGAGAGAGAAACATCGACCAACTGCCTCTTGCACACACCCTACTGAGGATGTGCCTGCAACCCCGGTATATGCCCTTGACCGGAATCGAACCTGGGACCCTTCAGTCTGCAGACCGATGCTCTACCACTGAGCCAAACCAGTTTCGGCTATAGTGTGTTTTTTTAAATTGATTTTAGAGAGAGGAAGGGAGAGGCAGAAAGAGACAGAAACATCAATGACTAGAGTCCTGGTGCACAACATTCGTGCACTTGGCGGGGGGGGGGGGGGGGGGGGGGAGGCGGGGCGAGGGGAGTCCCTCAGCCTGGTCTGTGCCTTCTCATAGTCCAGGAGCCCTCGGGGATGTCTGACTGAGGGCTTAGGCAAAACCAGCAGTTAAGAGCATCTGCCTGGGGACTGAAGAGTCTCAATTCGGTTCAGGCCAAGGGCACATACCTCGATTGCAGGCTCGATCCCCAGCCTCCAGTTGAGGTATATATGGGAGGCAACCAATCAATGAGTCTCACATCCATGTTTTCTTTGTCTCTCTCTGCTTCTTCCTCTCTTCCACTCTCTTTAAATAATTAATGGGGGAAAAATATCCCCCAACAGGATTAACAACAACAAAACAAACAAACAAAAAAGGAGACAGGGTAGATTAAAAAGACCCATCACTCTGTTGTCTATAAGAAACCCACTTTAGCCGAAGCCAGTTTGGCTCAGTGGTCGAGTGTTGGTCTGCAGACTGAAAGGTCCTGGGTTCGATTCCGGTCAAGGGCATGTACCTTGGTTGCGGGTGTGCAAGAGGCAGCTGGTCGATGTTTCTCTCTCATCGATGTTTCTAGCTTTCTATCTCTCTCCCTTCCTCTCTGTAAAAAATCAATAAAATATATTATAAAAAAAAAGAAAAAAAAGAAATCCACTTTAGCCGAAACTGG